GGGGGGGGGGGGGGGGTTTGGGCTGTCTTTGGCTTTCCCCTGCTGCAACTCATGCATGTGACAATTTCTTTGTGATTGCTATTCATCTTTTGCATAAATCATAGTATGTGCCTTATTCTAAAGGAATGTGCTTTCTTGAAGACTATGTTGTCTTTTTTCCATCTGTTCATTGCTGCTTTCTTGGTATATGCGGTTTGTATTTCTGTCAAAATGAGAAACCAGGTGTAGGCAGTCCCTTGATTTGCACTTCTGGCTACACCTTTTTAACTGCTATGCATAATTAATTAAATCAGGGATTGGTGGCCAAAGCTGAGCTTTGTCTTTACCTAATTATGATACTCCATTTTGGAGAACTAAATTAAGGCATCCATGGTGGTGGCACCTCAACATATGATGTTTGTAGATAGCAATTTCTGCTACTTTATTTAAGTGGTTCTTAAAACTTGTTTAAGGTGAGAAATCTTTCTGGTGAGTGGATATCAGCAGTTCCCATTCCTGGCACATTTGTTTGCAACATAGGTGACATGTTAAAGGTAACATGCATAGGTTTTTAACAAATTATTTTAAACTGTCACAATCTTAAGAAGAAAATATCCTTTTGAAACCTGTGGAAACTGCAGATATTATCAAATGGCCTCTATGAATCAACTTTGCATCAAGTCGTCAACAACTCTCCAAAGTATCGCGTCTGTGTGGCGTATTTTTACGAGGTTATTCTCTCCACTAGTTATATATATTTTTTTTTCCTATTCTTGTTTGCTTTCATTCTCTCTTTTCTTCCATTTAAATTTGAGTGGTCCTTCGTGCATATTTCTGTCTCAATAACAGCCAAATTTTGACGCTGCAATAGAGCCCCTCGACGTATGCATACAGAGGACTGGTGGAACCAAAAAGTTTGAGGGTGCCGTTTATGGAAAGCATCTAGTTGGTAAAGTCCTGACCAATTTTGTGATGTGAAAAATCAAAATGTAGATGTTTTGACCTTTTCATTCTGTTGCATAAGTAGGTAAATCATCTCAAGTTCTGTAGATTAGACTCACCAAGGCACCTACTAGTGTTCTTATTTGATGGATTATGCCTCTGGCCAATCATTTGTTGTATTTGGTGTCAGATGCATCACTGTGAACTTGTTGAGCAATGTGATGTAACACACCTTCTGAATGGGAGTGTTGTAAGAGATGATTTTGGCAAACTTTTCCTTTCTGAAAGATCGTCTCAATGACCTGGAATTAAAATCTGAGGCACATACAGTGATGACGCTCAGCCAATTCAGATTAAGCTCTTTGTTAGAAGATTTTTACTTGCTTTTTGTCTTTGGGCATTTTGTGCATTAATCTGGACAACTTTTATTTCTTGTTATTTTTCTTTCTTAGATTATTATTTTAACTATGTTTTTTTGGCCCTGATCAGAACCATTTTCATGCCAATAGCTTGCAATAATCCCATACTGCACCCTCCCCTGCCTTGAACTACTTATACGATGAAATGAGTCCTTGTCGTTGATCGATGGCTAGTCTCAGGACACTGGCTTTTACAAACCTAGTTGAATCTGTTTCAAGCTTAGATTATTAATGAAATAATCAATTCTATTTGGAGTTGGCTACTTGAATCTAACTTTGTATTTACAGGTGCATATACAGGTCTTCACTGCATGTGTCAAAACCACCTTAGTTTATTTATTCATAACTTGCTTCTATTAATACCACACGTACCATCTCTCTATTTTTTATATACATATATTTTTTTGACTCGAACTTTTGACCTTAAGAAAGCAAAACTTTTGTGAAGAAATACCACACGTATCGTCTCACACATGTTTATTTTTAGTTTCATTTTCCCTTAGTTTAGCACGTAAAAGGCAGTTAGTGAGTGGCTATCACTTGAAAAGATTAGATATATGTAGTCTTACTTCCGTATATGGGGTTGTTTCCGTATATGGGGTTGTTTCCAAGTTGTTGTAGTACATAGTCATCTTTAACATTACGGAAAACATTATTTCTTATTTGTATCGGGAAAGGCCATTAAAAAGAGAGAATTATCATTCTCCTACAAGTTGTGATGAAAGCGGAAAAAGAAAATGGGTGATATATATAGCGTTGCATTTAATCCATTCAATTACATATGTTCTTATTTGGGAGAAGCTACATAGCAATGGCCTTCAGCCTTCAACTACTACTACACAGAGTTGCCTCATGGTGGATCGTTAAGGTGGCTCAATCAAAGCAGCATAAGAAGGCGATGGACGCATTGCACTCCTTGGTGCCCGGTCCGAAATGTCTTGCGTTATGGAATGATTAATTTTACAAGGTATGTAGTTCAACGACCATTCGTCGGGGCAAGACCCGTGCTGGGAAAAGAAGGTGCTGCATTCGGCCGGAGTTCTCTGTGACGGAAGATCCAGAATGCAATTCATGCTCACATCAAGCACTCCTTTCGTGATCAACTTCCTGCATTCTGGACCAACCTGCGTGAAATAGTTGAATTTCAAGGCAAGCTGATCCAGATTCATGAGCTTGCATAACATTTCCGGCACCGGCCCGTAGAACTGGTTGTACGACAAGTTCATCTCCTCCATCCTCACCAGGCACCCGAAGGAGTGTGGTATCGGACCTGTCAATGAATTCTTGCTGGCGTCGAAAACAGTGGCTTTTCTCAGCAACCCAATTTCATATGGGAGACAACCAGATAATTGGTTGTTCAAAAACAGCACTTCAAGCAATGTGTTTGAAGCTTGGCCAATGCTTTTTGGGATTGGACCTGTGAATTTGTTGTTTGCTAAGGTGAGGTAAAGCACTGGAGTACTGCCTAGATTATCTGGAATTTGTCCATCAAACATGTTGTTGTTGAGGAATAGAACATCAAGGTCTAGTTTGAAAACTTGTGGCGGCACGAGTCCTACTATATTGTTGAACCTGAGGTCCAAGAAGGTTAGGTTGGTGGCATTGAGAACGGACATGGGGAACGTGCCGGTGAGCTTGTTGTTGCTTAAGTCAAGCTCATAAAAATGGGGGTTTTTGTTGATTTGGGATGGAATGTTTCCTGTGAAGTTGTTGGAGTTTACATGGAAGATGACAAGGTCTTTTAGATCTTCAATGAAGTTGTCGAAGGTAAGTTTTTCGTTCCTTCCGTTAAAGTTGAAACCGTTGAACTTGACGCCGACAACTCTAGTCTTACTTCGGACTTCAGCGCAGATGAAGCCTTTGTATGTGGATCTGTCTTTGCAGATGTTATTTCCTCTCCAGGTTTTTGTAATGCCTTGAGGGTCATAGGTTATTCTTTTCCCGAATTCCCGGATTACCTTGATGGCCATTTGGAGTTCAGATGGCGGTGGCGGAGGTGGAGGTGGAGGTGGAGGTGGAGGTGGAGGTGGCGGTGGCGGAGTCGTTGGTAGAGAAAGAGTGTGAGAGAGATACGTGGTATAGATATGAAAATGGGAGATATGTATTTTAGGGACTGAGTGAGAGACGTAGACTGCGAAAAGTCATTGAGAGACGTACAGAGGTAGAGGCGCGAGAGATTAAGGGAGAGAGAGGTAAAAGTGAGAGACGTACAGGAACACAGGCGTCAGAGATTGGGATAGAGAGAGAGAGTAAACGTGGTTGGGTGGGAAAATGATTTCAATATTTATGTAATAATCTGAATTGTCTTTTATGATAGGTTTACGTTGTGCGTCGTTTATATTTTGTTTCAAAATAATTTAAATTTTTTTTTTGTTTTTAAAATTCAAATTCAGCTATACTTTATTATATTCAAATATAAAAAAAATATTATTTAAAAACAAAAAATAATATTATTTAAACACAAAAAATTATTAATATTAAAACATAAAAAAATAATAATATTTAATATTAATATTTTTAAAAATAACAATAGTAACATATTCAATAAAAATAATAACATATTTAATAAAAAAGTATTAACATGAAAAAAAAGTAATATGATCAATTAGAAAAAATAGTAACATGGTCAACAACACAAACGTAGTAACATGAAAAATTTAAAAAAATTGGGAATTATTTACAAAAAAAATAAAAAAAAAATTGGGGATCTAACTAATAACATATTGAGCAAATTTTTTAACATTTTTTTTTTAAATCAACGACATAAAAGTTCATGATGATTATTACACATTATAAGATATAGTAATTATTGATGATGTTTTAAATCTTATTGATTTTGATGTTATGGAAGAAGAAATGATATCTAAAAAGAATTATTTATTGTACTAGAGTGATAATATTTTTTCTAACGAGAGAGAATATAAATTTGAATTTTAATTTAAAATTGAATTAAGGGATAATAATTTCTAATTTAAGAAATTAATTTAAAATTAATTTGAAAGTTTTTAAGATTTATATAATTGAACAGAATAACATTGTTAATGGTATTTTTGAGATTTGAAAAAATAGTAGACTTAAATACTTATTAGTAAGATAAAAAATAGACTTATCATCAAATAAGTTTTTTTGACGAACTCAAGTCATTATAAATTTATTCAAAGGACTTAGTCCCAATTTTTATAATTTAATTTTAGTATATATAGTACTAAAATAACTCTAAGCTTCACTTATATTTAAACTTGAGTAAAAATAAGCTAAAAACAACCACCAGTCCTCTATAAACTTGCACCAAAGGATGACAAATCTCCGATGATCAAANGAGGAGGGGGAGGGGGAGGGGGTGGGCAACTTGGTTCTGGAGGCGGAATGCAATCAGGGCATGGTCCATTTTCAGGAGGGTAAGCAGGGGATGGACTTCCACCACCTATAATGATTTCTAGTGTTTCTCTTTTGCCTTGGGTGGCTGAAGCATTGCTAGCTGCTTGGTGGAAGAATGAATAAGAGAGAAAAAGGAAAAGAAGTAGAACTGTAGTTGAAAGACAGAGGTTTCCCATATCTCTCTTTTTCTCTCTCCAAAATGATGGCCTTTGCCATGGGAAAGAGGTTATCTTATATACAGAGGAAAAGTAGTCAATTTGGCTTTATTAACTGGTGGTGGGGGAGGGAATTGACAGAATTAAATCATGCAATAAAAACTAACATTATCCATGTGAATGTTGGAGAGAAAAGAGAAGAAAAGAACGTTGCTTTTAGAAAGTCGAAAAGAAAAGAATAAGAAAGAAATGCGAATTCTTCAGTTTTGTTTGGGAATTTTGAGAAAAGAAAAAGGCGTAATTCCCTCCCTCTTTTTGGGTTTTAAAATAGAAAGAACAATTGAAAAATAAATAATTTTGTTAATTGGAAAGACAAAACAAGGATTTTCAGTTTCTAAAAACTCGAAACAATACATTACTTATGAACTCAATTTTTTATCTCTCTCTCTCTCTCTCCGAGTCTTTTATTTTTTGGAAGGATAGAAAAATGTCTAAAAAAGTTCTCAAATCTTTTTATTTATTTTCTCTTATTTCCTCCCAAAACCTCAAGCTCGAGTGCTTTAACTCAATTTTCATTCAATTTCTTTCTTTTCTCTCAATAATCATTTCATCAAGCAAGAGTAAAAAAGACATCACATTGCAAGCCACTCTGGGTTTGGAGGGTTTTGGTCCATCCATTAAAATTCCTGGACTATCATCCAACTTGCTCTATTTTTATTGAGGAGAATTAGAATTAAAGGCGAGAATGCATAATTTTTTAATACTTCATACGATTATGATAAACTCGAACCCCAAACCAATCCCCCCGCCTGGGGCGGTTAAATAGTTCCTTCATTAATTAAGATTACTTCTTAATTCTCCCTTGATAAAATGCAGTTTTCCTTGTGTGGTTTATCTAAATTTTACTCTAAAATTACTAATCACGATAATATTTTAAAAAAGTCATAACATTTTCATTATTGTCAACTTTAATGACGACCTCGTTTTTGCAAGTACTTTTAAAATACTTTAAATATATAATTTTTCTTTTAAGGATATCATCCAAATACTTAGCCAATTGTGTACCATGGCTTTAGTGTTTTTCAAACTAGTTTTAGCATAGGAATTCCTTAATAAGCTAAACATAGCAAGTGTTAAATAAATTGGAAATATGATAATCGACTATTCATGACGTACATGACACATCGTCTTTGTTACGTGATCAACTTGTGAAAAATAATTTTTGGCCCCACAACGTCTGTACTCTACTTGCTGCTTGCTCTCCCTGTTTGCTCCAAGGGTTTTGACAAAAACATTTTGTGCTTACCGGGCTGTGTTTGCTTTGGGTATTAGGAAAAGAGGATTGAGAAAAATAATGTCAAGGCTATCTTATTTCTCTTATATTTATATTTAAATGTCATTTAAAAATAATATCAATTCGAATAAATAATGTATTTAATATTACATATAATCTCTTAAATAAATTATTTTTGTTGGTGGATATAAATAATTCAATTGAGCTGTATTTGACTAAAAGACATTTTTTATATTTAAGAGTTTTTAATAATTTAATATTTATACTATCGCTCAATACTTCATTCAAATAAATTATTAGATGAAATGAATGTGGGATCCACTACTTCTTAATACTTGAACCAAAGAAATGATGAAGTGACATTATCATTATAATTAATCCAAAGACCGGATGGATGATTAAGGGATGGACGACATTGTCTAATCCGATCCTTTCTAATGTTTAAACCAAACACACCCCAAGTGTACAAAATTGTTGGGTATGGTTTTGGTATCAAAATTTGCGATTCACTCAGATAAAATTGTCTTTTAAATCGGTTAAACTATAGCTGAAAAAGATTATTTTGAATTGATTTTGAATATTTTTCAATTCCATTAAATGATAATTTTGACCAGAATGAGTCATAATTTAACTTGATTAAATTAAATAGCAACTTTCTCAAATATTTTTTTTCTTTGGTGATGTAGACTTTTCAAAGCTTCATATATTTCCAGTAATCTCCAATCTAGGAACATATGACTCACAAATATATCACAAAATTTATGAATTTGAATATAGTTTTAGTTAATTCGGATGATAAATGAATAAATTTATTAGACCTATTAAATAAATGGACTGACAAGAACTAACTAAATGCTACCTGAACATGACCTACACACAATATAAAGAGTAATTTTATTTGGACCTAAAAATTTGACTTAATTTATTGGTATAATGATGCAGTTTCGTAAGAATTATTTGATTAACACCAAGTTTCAATTTTTTATAAACCCCCCTATACGTGCTTCTAAACGACTCAATTTGTTATAAATTAAATAAAGTTCAATATAACATAATTTAAATACACGAATTTAATATAACTCAATGCATTGTGTCTAAAGCAAGCGTCGTTTTTTTAATGAAAAATGTTATGTTTATTAAATTTTTTTATTAAAATTTTTATTTTAAATGATGTGACGTAATTTCTATTATTAAATATTAATATGACCCTTTTATTTGATAATAAAAAAGTATTGTATATCATTTAAAATAGAGATTTAATATAAAAATTTAATAAGTATAGCGTTAACCTTCAATTTCATAAGAGTGCCAGGAGGGATGGTACCAATAATGCAGAGCCTGTCCATTGTCAGCTAAAAAAGTGAGTAATACCACTGAAAAATTTGACACAGATAAGACAGGCTAGTAGTTAACATGTCGCTAACCTACCTATGGATTGTTTATGGCACCCTTTCCCACCACATAACCTAACCCTCTGGATTGTTTAAGGCACCCTATCCTACCACATAGCACTTATCTTCAACTTTACATGGCTGTGGGGAAGCCCCTTATCAGGTCCTGCTGCTTTAAGGAAGGACAGATACTGGGTGGTGGATAGGGAAACACGAACTCTGAAAATGATATGGTATAAATATAATACGATAAAATATGATTGACACCTTTAATTATAAATCATTAAAATATAAATTTAATTTATTAATTTAATGTATTATAATCTTTAAATTAGTAATGAGTTTCAACTAATAATAGGATACATTATTAATCTAATGAAATAAATTAATTAAATCAATAAATAAGATTCAAGTAACATTGTTCATATATTGGTTATAGTTGACTATTCCACTCTTATAAATCTATGAAAAATTAATGAGTCTTTTTGTCTAATAATACTTTTCGTCTTGTGAAAATTTTACATTCTTACGGTTCAAGTCACATTTTCTCCCTCTCCCTCCCCAGGAAAAAAATAATAAAAAATAAATACAGGAAAAATGCAACCAAAATGTATTTATCAAGAGTAAAAATGATATTTTGTCATTACATTTTGCACTCCATTTCATTGTAAAAAAGACAAATTTACAACAACTTTAATAAAATTACAATAATTAAAGCTACATTTACTATAGTTTAGGATTAAGTTAAAGCAATACTTAACAATGTTACAAGGATGTAGGCCAAACTTCCTGTTGTA